TTTAACTTTAATCCATGCATAGAAATAAAAATGAACTGAATCCTCCAGCAGAGTAAATGGAAGTGAATAAATACCAACAACAACAACAAGGATTGTACAAAATACATCCTCAAGCTGTCAATTACTTGCAAATGATGTAGGAGTATGAGTAAATGTCAGTCTTGTCTTCTCTGTTGTATCTGCTGCCACAGATGTTCGTGATGGCGTTAAACTTGATGATGATGCTGATGATGATGTGATTGTGTGGTTGATACTTGGTACCAATGATAACAATGATTGTGTTGATATTGTTGTTGTTAGCAATGGTTGTGGAACATAGTAGACGCAGTGGCAGCATCATTACTATGCAACTGATGTTGATGCTTCAGCCATGAAATGAACAAAGAAAACAATAACAAAATCACCAGGAAAAAAGTGCAATATTAGTAAGTAATTGCTAAATAAAACTCAACTCAACCACTTTGTACCCTTTTGAGATATGGCTGTTGTCAGTGTTGTTATTGTTGTCTGGGGAAAAGGGACTTGTTGTTGTTTTTGTTATTGTCACTATTTTTCCTTTAAGAAAATATGTGTCAAATAAGATAGTGAAAATTAAATCATGATACTATAAATCGAGTTTTCACCCTCGTAAACTTTTTACACCCTCTATTCTACATTCTCAAAGGTGTCCTTAGACGTGATCAAGGTACAAACAATTTATACAGAACAGCTGAATATAGTATCATGGAGCAGTGTGTCATTAATGCTGTCATAAACTTTATTTAACAATTTAACTGCACTTAATGTTGCAAACAAATGGTTGTTATTCGTATACGTATTTATGCAAGACATACAGCATACATGTAACATAACATATTCAATATTATCACACTTAAGCAACTAACATGAAGACAATTTTAAATTTAATTAATTAGGAAAATTGAAATTTAAGCCACCGCAAGGTTGGTATGTACAAGTACTTAACAGTTTATTAAATAATTAAAACAATAAGTTATTTTAAGATTCTCATAAAACATGTTGTTAACGGAAAATGTTAAGAAACCTTTTCATTCTAAGTTATTTTAAAATATATATTTTTAATAAATAAGCAGCGATACTGGCTTTGATATATAATTTATTGATCTTTAAGTAAACTACTAAAAGAAAATATGAATTTTTGTAGATTTTTATAGAATTTTTGGAGTGAGGTCGTGAAACAAGTATTAAAGCAAAAACTTGAATATTTCAGAAATTCAGCAGTTATAAATGAAAAGCAAATATAGATAGTCGATTTAGCCATGTCCGTCTGTCTGTCTGTCTGTCTGTCTGTCTGTCTGTGTGTATGTTGAAATCAGTTTTCAGAAGACCCCAGATATCAGCGAGATCCGAATTTTCATTAATTCTATTGGAAATATGATCGAATAGAACGCTATTTAAAATCAGTCCAATCGGTCCATAAATAACGAAGATATAAGTAAAAATCCGAGACCACCTCTGAAAATTTCATGAATAATTTACATTTTTCGTGCATGCTTATACAAAACAATAAACAAACAAAAACAAAACACAGTATCAAACGGTAAATTTTTTTGTTATTGTGATTTCTTGTTTATAAACACAAAGCAAAGAATGAACATGACGTTACGATACGTTGTTATTGGCTAGAAACATGAAATTAAGTATGTAGAGCCCGGATTAGACGAGAACACATTAAAGGGGACTTTTTGGTACTTTGCGTTCTACAAAAGGTACTTTTTGAATTTTCTATAATATTGAACCCAGAAATATGAAATTAAGTATGTAGAGCCCGGATTAGGCCAGAACACATAAAAGAGGACTTTTTGGTACTTTTTTGTTCTACAAAAGGTACTTTTTGAATTTTTTATAATATTGAACCTAGAAACGTGAAATTTAGCATGTAGGGCCTTGATTAGGAAAGAACCTATAAAAGGGGACTTTTTGGTACTTTTTCTTTCTACAAAAGGTACTTTTTGAATTTTTTATGATATTGAACCTAGAAACATGAAATTAAGTATGTAGAACCCGGATTAGGTCAGATCACATAAAAGGGGACTTTTTGGTAATTTTTCGTTGTTCAAAATGTACTTTTTGAAATTTCTATAATATTGAACCTAGAAATATGAAATTAAGCATGTAGAGCCCGGATTAATTTAGAACGTATAAAATGGGACTTTTTGGCACTTTTTCAGTCTTAAAAAGGCCTTGCCGTTTTACAATTGGTATTTTTTGATTTTTTGTAATAAAATTCGTACTGTTTTTAAACACATCATTGTGAAGGGTATATAAGATTCGGCAAAGCCTAATATGGAACTTTTACTTGTTTTAATATTAAATTTTTATATAAAATTTATAATCATAATCGATCATTTAAATTTGTTAGAGAGTTTGATTCTTAAAAAAAAACTTTTTATTTCAACTTGTATACTGCTGTTATTAAGTTAGTTATAAACACTTGATGTCCTATGTCATAAATATTTTTCAAGGAAAAGGACAATTGTAACTAAACAAAAATAATAATATTTAAAGAACTTTTTTCTAACATATTAAGTTTTATTGCAAACATTTTATTTTCAAATAGTTTTTAATATGTATGTATGACCTCCTAAATGATACAAAATAAAACATTTAAAACTAAAAACACTAAAAATCTGTGTTCACTCAAAAACATCAGAGTGAAAGTAATTAAAAAAACAATATTTAAATCCTGTACGTTTTAAATCAATGTCATTTAAACAGAAATACATTTGAAATAAATAACAGTCAAAAGAAACAAAAGCGACGTTTCCTTTTATAGCCTGCATTGCTTTGATGTTCTGCTTCACAGTCCAGTTCTTTTATTACACTGTGCAACAAGAAATATCAGCCTTAACGATTTTAACTTAAAATAAAACTAAATAGAATACATGATCCTTAAAAAGTTCGAGAAATTTTTGTAATAATTGTGGCCACAAATAGTGCAGCACAGTGTTATTTGCCCAAAGACAGGAATTGAAAAAACACCGCAAATGCAAGTACATATGTACACAGGATTATACTATATATGTGTCTATGTGTATAAATATTGATTTTGAACACTTGCCAACAACGACCTACTCCCTAGAAGACACCAAATGTTAGTGACAATGACACTACACTGCCATTATGATAAAAACCAACAACTGTCAGGAGAAAGAGAAATACATTCACAAAAATTATGCATTATTGTGACCACAAAAAAACAATTATTTCAAGTGTAGCGAGAGTGCACGGTAGGACAGAATGGAATTTTTTGGACATGGATATAGCCAAGGAGTATTCGAGTTTAAGTTTCTAAAAGAGCACTATTTACAAGGCATTTTGAGCTTACCACGTTTGTTAACTTTTAGACAACGGATGTGCATAAAGTTTAAATTGCGTCAACGAATAGTTACAATGTTGACAAAGTTGCGTGGTCTATATTACATTAAAATTAAAAAGACACATCTGTTTTGAGGTATCCTTGACCCAAGGACTGTTATTATAGAGAAAATCAAAACACATGTGAGTAGCCAAGTTATTGTGACACTCTTTCGATCAAATAAGCAATTTCACAACATAGACGGGTTGTAATTAAAGAACATTGGGTGCTACGTAGACATGCAAGTCCTCTTGGGCTCCCCTTCAATAGAAAAATATTTCTTGATAACTGCACTATATTCAACATGGGAGAGTGATCTAGACATAATCTTTTGATATATCTCCAATTCTACTGCAACCTGGACATTAAATGGAAATTAGCTCAAAATGAAAATAACGAAATAAAGAATGTAGAATTTCAATTAATTTAATGTTTTTGCCATTTTGGACAGAACACACTTTGCGAAACTAGAAATAGTGTATTCTGTGATTTTTTTAAGTACCATGCTATTATTCATTCTTTATATAGGCTTATATGTATTATATTATGTGCGGCATACATACTTCTATAAATTTGGACATTTTCGCGTTAAAAGTTTAGGTATTTTATAAGTCACATCAAAACTAAAGACGATGACACTTTTATTGTAATTGAAAGTAAAATATGTAAAGTTCTTAGTATCTACAAATTCAAGGATATATGTATGTATGTGCATATCTCTAAGTATGTTTGTATCTGCAAAAGTACATTCTTTATTAAATTAAACTTTGTATGAAAAAAGGACCTGAATTTATTTTTTTATTTCCTATTTAATTTCATGTAAATGGCTGGTAAAAAAGTTTAAGTTTTTTGTTACAAAGAGTAAATATGACAACAAGGTGACCCAAATTATAATATATGTATGTACGTATAAGTATATATGTATGCATGTAACCTTTAGGTCAATTTACATTGTGTGTGTATGAAAAGTTTTTTTTTTTTGTTTCCATAACATTAGTTAATCACATGCATGTGTGATTGTAAGTATTCCATACTATTAGGAGCTCGTTTTTATTTGTCCTTTTTTAGTTTAGCTTTTTTGTGTCTGGGCTTTAAAATATCCCTTTTAAGAGTGTGTGTATATTATAAGACCACTAACAATTGTCACCAACAGATAAAAATCTCTACTTTTTAGTGTTAGTAACGCCCCAATTATCAATGAATAGTGAAAGTTCAAAAAAATGTTATTGGATCATCCACTCATACAAACATAAATTTAATAACTTCCATTTAGTAGACCAAAGGTGTAGTTTAACATGAAAAAATAATAATGTTTTATAATATATGTATCTGTAGTGGGAACTTTTTAATCAATAGTTTCAGCACCAAGAGTGTACCGACCAATATTTCACATTAACCAAACAAATATTTTAAGTAATTCAAAGGTTTTTAACGCTTCACTGTTAGGAGTGCAAAATGACTACCTACCAACTACTGGTTATAGAATTTAAATAAATCCAATAAAAATGAATTCTTAACTGGTTACAAAAATAATAATTTAAGTCCGGTACTATCAATGTAAATACATACATATGTGTATCGAACAAAATAATAAGTTAATTACTATTTAATTAAACCAACATACCTGTTGCTGTTTTAGTAAATTTAACTTGTCTGCTTGTTAGCACGATTATGAGCATATATTTTCCGCTTCTAAAATGAAAAATAAAATTATTAAAATTGTTCGCCTACTGAATCTGCAAATAATTTATTTATCTTTAATATATGAATATTCAAAATGACTGTATCCTATTATTCATTTTCCGCTTAGTAGTCACAGACACAATTACATACAAATACTATGGATACACATGTATTTAAAAGCTGACCACATGTATGTATTTTGTTTATAAATATTAAATTTTTGCATAGTAATTTGTTTTCATTTTAATGAATGAAATGATATCAGCAAAAATATTGTTTAAAATACTAAAAAAAAACAGCTGTATTCATAAAGTTTATTTTGGGTTTATTAAGATCTTTTAGGAAAATTTCACGAAAATAGTATTTATAAATATCTTATAGCTTAAAATACACTTAATAAACCATTGATAAATGGAAGAATTATATTAAAAGTTCTAGTATCTCCTCATTTGACCGTAGTCCCCATACAAAGTCTCCTTCAAAAAATTTAATGTCAATAATTCTGTTATAAACTAGGAGAAATAAAAGAAGAAATAAAAGACGGATGTCAAAAATTTTCAACAGCCTTCGTCATTGGATTCAGAGAAGAGTATGTGACAAATTTTAACAAATGATATTGAAAATGCGAGATTGCGGGATTTATGTTTATATAAAACTTATTTGTACCAAATTTCATCATGATACTGGTGTTTATAAGTGTATTGTGGACATTCAAGTCATTTTCTGAAGGGGACTTTGTATGGGGGCTAAGGTCAAATTATGTCCATTCTTAACGAAAATCACTAGAACTATTAAGATTTATATAGAACTAAGTTTCGCTAATTTTTGTAGAGATAGTAGATCATTTAACATAATTATGAGGTCAAAAGGCCTCCAAATTTCATCAAATTATCTCAAAAATTGCGCCCTATAGAGTGCGCACAAGGTTTACATGGACACACAGACAGATGAACGGACGGACATAGCTTAATCGACTCAGGAAGTGATTCTGAGCCGATTGGTATACTTTAGGATCAATATCTTTTGGGTGTTACAAACATCAGCACAAGCGCGTAATAATTTCCCTACTATAGTGGTGTAGGGTATAACAAGTTTGTTTTTATTTAACTCGTCAAATATTTATAGAAATTTACACTTTATAAATTTTGAAAGCTTAAATAATAAACAAATAATGAACCGATCGTGTCTGTACACTAGACTGACCGATTCTTATATGGGGAGAAAATATGTCGAAATCTTGTTCGTCTGAACCCCACAGAACGATTCCCCTTTCCACATATTGAAAGGCCAAAATGCTAACATACATATGAAGCTATAACTCCAGAACGGTAAATAATAAAAACACGTACCTCGACACAATGACAATATTGTTCTTCAAAATTTATAATATATAAATAATTATTGTTACTTTAAATTAAACAGAGTTACAATAGCTTTTGTAAATGTAAATGTTATTAAAATTCCCCCAGGCCATTGACGTGTCTCAGAGCACTTGATTAGGAAATGTTGAAAAAATTAACTTATTTTGGACAAAATTCCAATAATATAATAATATTTACTCGAATATAAGTTTTTGTCCTATAAGAACCTGTTTTCAGCTATGATCAAAAATATTAATTTTTAAAACGGCAGTTTCAAAACTCCATTTTCAGTTTTTTCAAAACTTTGTTGAACAAATTTTAAAATTTTTGAAATATCACCGGGGGATTAATGGTCAATAGATTAGGAAATAAAACAGTGGAAAAAATAGGTCAATACCCCTTATAGTTTAGCTGTACCTGCGATTTGAATTCTGTGAATAACTATTTTTTTTTTTTTTTTTGCAACATTTTAGAAAATATGTCCTAATTCTGTACTGTTATACAATCTAAAAATATTTACAGAATATTATTTCCCTGATAATATAAAATATGTCCCTGAATTATATATAAATCGAGAAATCCTAAAGCGTAAACTTTGGAGGTCAAAGAAAATATTTTGCAAATATTTGGAAATTCTCATTGAAACATATCGATATATTATTTATTGGTTGGCCATATTTACTTAACTTTCGGGAAGAGAATGTGTCGGATAAATGAGAAGTGAGTGGGGTTGAATAGTGATATATGTACGGTATCTTATACAAGTAACACTATTGAATTACTCTTCCTTGTTAGGGTATGTTCAGAATGTGAGTAAGAACATGTCTTTGGCTTATTTGATGGATTCGTATTTCGGTCTACGCATTACGTCCCTAGGTGCTGTTGCCGAATCAAACGGAAGGGATGTATATATTGATTTTATTTAAATTCTTTTTATTCTGAAGAAGCCAAAAATACGGAAATAATTCCACTTTCGATCGGAATGGAATTCTGTGACAGGCCTGTATGTTATTCACCACGACATATTCGTATAAAATGCACAATTTGAGTTAATGTTGAATAATATAAAGTATATATGTATGTGTGAATTTGCGGAACAAAAATAATGAAAATGGTTATGTCTGCGATAAAAATAGAAAAATAGTTTATTTCTTTTGCATCGTACGGATTTTTTATGACTTTACTTAAATGTTTTGTACTTTTGGACTCTTTTGTACAACTACCTGAAACTTAATTGCTGCAATAATTACGCTACTTCTCCTTTTTGTTTTAATTATAATTTTACTCTATGTATTAATAATGTGTAAATGTATGAGCAGATACATATTCACATGTATGTATATACATATTTGCTGTACCCAGTTTGCAATTATGACTTATGTACATGAGAGCGCTCCAAGTTTGTATGAAGGAAAAAAATGTTGTCCGACAGGCCGCCCCCCTCTAGAATTGTTCTTAGGGTTGTAAAACTTAGTATGATAGGATAACGTTAACAGGTGCCGCAACGGCTTTGAAGATCCCAAGTGAATTTACAAAGGAACAAATTCAGTTTTTATTTTCAGTTTTTGCTCAACTTTTGTAAAGGAATCGTAATGTGCACAGAATAAGCATTTCAGAAAGATATAAAACACAAAAATTGGTTGAAAAATTTTAATGTTATTCCAAATTTCCAAGGCCATTGTCGAAATCACAACGATGCATTGTCAGAAATGACACAAAGCGTCATCAAAAGGACAACAATTTGTTGTTGTAATAACAACGATGCGTTTGTGAAATTTCAGAAGAACCCGAATATCTGCGAGATCCGAATCTTTGTAAAGGTTTCTATTTATAATGTGAAATGTCAACAAAATTCCGAAACAATCCATGAAAATATTACTGGTTACTAATCAGTGATTAGGTTTTCTGAAAATATTGCAGCAATTTTTTTCAAAGGTTTTTTTTCTCTTGTCCAGGGATTAGAATGGTTGAAAATTATTATAATTATTGGTTTAAAATGAACCCTAATAAGGGTCAGAGGCAAAAGTATACTATTCTAAAGGGTAGAGCAACGCTAAAAAAGAATCTGTCAGATGTTAAACCTTTATTTTAAAGTCGACAGATTGGACTTTCTGGCGACATAACTGATTTTATAAATGAAGAATTCTGAGGTCGGATGCGAATATAGCGTTATCCATTATCAATGTCTATTATCAATGTAAACTTCGGTGTCTGGGTTTTGACTTTTTTCAAATTTTGATGGCCTGTGTAATTGACCTTAGCTCCCATATAAGTGAGGTCCACTTCCAAAATCCATTAAACGACATCGGGACAAAATGTAACACGAATATGTTGTGTACATACATGCATTATGCACCTAAATTTTTTTCCGGATTGGCCCGTAATTGGTCATTGCTTCCATCTCGAAATCACTTAATCGTATATAACTTATGAATTAATAATGATATCGCCATTAAATTATATATGAATAAGTATACAAATCATTCTGAGACACCTTTCCGGATCAGTCCATTATTTGTTTATTTCTATAAATATTTAACGTGTTAATGAAAACAAGCTTATGGGTGAATGATATCTATGAATCGACATAGCAGAATATAGCACTCTAATTTGTTTTTTTCTGGAATGCAAATTTTTCATGGAAATTAAAAGAAAGAATATTCATAATATATTTACAGATAATGTATTAGTGTTCTAAAGTGGGGTTTCAAAACGCAATACAGTTTATATATGTATTAAATATGAAATATTTATTGAAATCAACCGTTTTGGTAATTTATCGAATCAAATTTGAGGTCATGAATAAAATGACTATTTATGAGTTTATATCGAAGCCTCCCTAAGGTACACCTGAATAAATCCTATAACATGTAACTATGTTCAAATTTAAGCGTACTTGTTACATAAATTTTTAGTTTAACACGTAACAACCATAAACGGCAAAAAGGCACATAAATGAATACATATATGTATTTGTAAGTACATACACATGTTTACATTTCGGTAACAGATTTTGTATGCTTTTTTAACCAAAAACTTAATTTTATAGCTATAAAAAGTAGAAATATATAGCTATGTTGCTTAAATATTTTCAGCAAGTATTTGTTAGTCCTAGTCCTTTTGAGATTATGTTCGGGAAATTTACTGCATATAATTTGTATATAAACTTTTTAAACTTATTTTTAGTTTATTTTATATTAATATTTAAATATATTTATTAATTATTATAAATTATTTCTAAATACGCAAAATTTCTATGTATTTTTGTTATTTCAAAGAAAATCAATTATTTTCTATTTATAATTTTTAGGATTAGGTTGAAATGTGACCTTTATCAATGCCAATTAGATAACAATCACGTGTCAAGTAGATACATACATACATAGATAAGGAAAATATTAAATATTATTCAGACATCATTCATCCCACATTACTTCGCATGATTTAATATTTACAAAGAAAAAATTGTAAACATTTGCTAGGATATGTGTAATTCTCGTATTACGAAGTTATCTAACAATATTTAAAAGCAAAAAATGCTCCTTAAATTTGAAAAAAGCCGGGAAAATCTTTTCTATAGTTAGTTCTAGAACGCCTCATCGAAAATACCACCTTCGGAAGTAGCTCTATGGATACGTTATTTTATCG